CAGGCTTAGGCCGAAAATTAGGCCTTAAATAGGTAACATGCTACACTTGGGCCTTAAAAAGGTAACATGCTAGACTTGGGCCTACACTTTCAAAAGTTGACCCGACCTATTTAGACGAAAGTCTGGCTTGACATGTTTCCACCCCTAGTAGGGGCGAACTAATAGTGGAACTTGGTGGTTTGCATAGAACTTTGTACCATAAGTTTGGATACAGTTAGATAAAAGGCAAATTCGTTTTTGCATACTTACACCTATTCTTAGGCAATAGCCCTAATGCTTGGACTTCTCTATTTATTTTGATAGTAAAAAGGGTCTTCGACTAGATTATCACTATTATAACAAAGAATAAGTTACTCCAAATTCTAAAAATCAGAAGAATTTCTTTTTATATTTCCAAAATAAAATAGAAACTCAAAATAAAAACACAAAAGAATTGCTATTGAGTTTATGGTCTTGTTTGAAAATCGATTGTTAGTTGTTAGATGATTGTGATAGCGGTTTGACAATAACTGGTTCTATTGGATGTTTTATTGGTTGATTATATTAGCCTATTGTCAACAAGTGTTTGATAAAGTTAGATATTTAGTAGTAGGTGATTGAGTTTGATAAAGCTAGACGAAAGAATAAAGAGACGTATACAATTTATATTTATTATTTTTACATATTTCTTGCAAAGAGAATTTTGTTTACAGGTATCATAACAACTTGTAAACAAGATAGATACAATTAGATACTTAATAAAAAATACAGAGTATGGAGTATAATAATATAGGGATGCGAAGCAGACAGCAAACCTTTTTACCGGTTTACCACCAAGAAGCAACTAATCTATATAGTATTTAATTAAATTAATACTACATAAAAAAGAATATTGTTTAAGCTAAAATTAAACTAATCTAAAGATGGAATTGAGTAGGAAATCAAGTAACACAGAATCGAAGATAGACGAATTGATGAAAAAAATAAATTGATTATTATTGGTAATTACAATAATGAATAGCTTGAGCAATATGCTTGGATTACAGAATAATGGACTATGTGTATATGTATGATCGTAGTTTATCGTGTGTATCTAAGAATGCTGGAATAACCTATTTATCACATGCATTTTACTCCTTCCCCAAGTTTAGCAATGATCCCCTATTTGTCCTCCACGTTCAACCAGCCAACCACCTCCTTTGACTTGCTCTTGTATTATTCCTTTATCTTTACGCAATACGCTTATTGCTACCTTCTCGACTGGTTCACTCATTTATCTACCGGTGGCCCAATTTCTAATTAAAATTCTTGGGCCCAACAAATATAATGACAATGCAATGAAGGAAGCCTTGTACCATTCATACACACATGTAAACTGTGGCCCTTTCAAGTTTCAATGGAAAAGTCTACGAATATTTCACGGACATAAATGGACAAGCCGTTGTAGAGAGGAGCCAAAGGTGGCAATCCCCAACGTTTTCCCTTTTACCTTTTTGGTATCAATCAGCTAAATCATACAATCATTTTATCAAAAAATATTTTTAGTTGTTTGACCAATTCAATCAGCTATTTTCAATCAAAGAAGTTAAATATTGGTTGATCAACCATTTTCCAAACAAGCCCTATGAATATTTTCGATCAACTGACTTTCCATCTTTTGTTATTGTATTTTCAAGCAAAAAGGGGGCAAGAATTATGGGAAAATGGGGGATATTTTTTTGGTCAAGAACTTATATATTGCGTATTTCTATTTCTTCCTTCTCTAAGGCAAAGCCTAGAATGGCATAATTGTCCGATTCCATCTATCTTTCGATATATCTTATTCACTGATATTAAAAAAAAGCTCTTAACCAATTACCACAAAATAGAAATATCAAACAAAAAATAAATGGAATTAGTAGTTGCCGCATAGTTTAATGGCCTTTTAACATCAATATTACTAAATTAAATTCACACTGAGTGACTATTTCTCAGTTACTCAACATTTACCAGTGACTTATCAATCTTAAACATATTATAGTGACTATTGTTAAATTACTCGTACACAACGACTAGTCACATTTTTGTCCAAAAGCATAACTAGTCATATTTTTGTACGGAAAAATTCTAGTAACAATATACATGTCATTTTTTTTCTAGTTTAATGGGTAGTTAAGTTTGTATCATCCTTTTCATTAAAACCTATTGTACTAGCTACTATACATATATAGAAGCAGTTTAATTACATGCGCATTTTACGGTGCGCTTTATTTGTTTGTTCTCATTTTTTCCTCTACCTTTCTACAAAGGCTCCTGAGATAACCATCTTGTTAGCATAACCGCACACTCCTCATGCTTATACTCAAAAGCTACATGTCCTGCTCCCTGTAATATGAATAACAAATGTATGCATTAATCTAAAATGAGAAAATTCTATTCCACATTAAAGTATATAAAAAATCATTAGAATGATAGAACCCCTTGATTTAAATTAAACTAGAAAAACGTATTTATATTTCAAAACAACTGAATCATTGATAATATGTAGAATGAATCTCTGAAAGCAACTTACCTTGACGGTTGCAAATGTCATTTGATTGGAATAAGACCTTGTGTAACTAAAAATCAGCACGCAAAAACAAAAATGTACCTAATTTAGCGTTCGTTGATACCACAGTTCAATTAAAGAGCTTTAAAACTAATAACAATTTCGTCAAATGATGATATTTATTAATTACCCGGCAATTTGATCATTTACAATCCATGGTCTCCAATCCTTTGTGATAGTGTAATTCAATTCTTTAATCCATGCTTCAGTTGATTGGAATGGCACTTTCATGTCGTGATCACCACTGTTCAATTTCATAATTGTTATTATTACATTCAATAAGTATTACTCCAAACTTCCATAGTTGTTTAATTAGCCCAGATAGTTTTACATTTCCAACATAAAAGTTACATATTGATCATATATAACTCTAATTAGTTGCCATTGATAAGTATGGAGTATTAATTAAAAAACATATGTACCTGAATATTAATGAAGCATAACCTCTACGACTAAGATTTGCATGATATTGTCTGCTATCTCTTGTTGTGACCGTATAGGCGCTCGGGAAAATAATCGATCTACATCTCAACCATTGTTCGATGGATCCCTAAGAGATGAAATATATTGATAGTAAAATCTGGTTAGTCTTTTGGATAGATGTCTTCAAAATAATGTGAGAGTGCATTTGGTAATACTGAAATCGGTTGAATCGGCTGATCCTGCTGAAATTTATGAAGTTCTGGCTTAAGTGGCTGTATTGACTGATTCAGCTGATTTATGAAAAATTTAAATTTAAAATATATTTTATTGATAAAATAAAGAAAATATTATATGTGAAATAGCTAAAATGGACCTTTAGAGTAGTAACAAACAGCCAGAAAAGTAACTTCAACTTTATTTTTTCTTATTATTACACATTCAGCGCGCGAAATCAAAAGTTATGTGTTTGACGAAAAAGTTGACAGATAAGTCTGATAACCCAAATAACAGTGTTACCAAACAGGCTTTGAGTATGATTTAAACATAAAAGGGGAGAGTTTGAGAGCACCTTTCGAACGTGTAGTGCTTCTTGGACACTAATATCATTTGCCCAATAAGTTGAGAGATCGTGGTACTTACCCTGCGGTGATAATAAGAAGTTCTTAACATTTTGTCGATGTATCATGTATTGATAGTTTTTCCAAAATTTGGACGACATAGACCATTTGTTGACCAAATTGTCTACACACAAATGTAAGAAGCGAGATTTGACTTTACAGTCAACTTTTTGGATTGGACTTCACACCTCATAATCATTAATGTTGTGAAGATCCATCAGCCAAAAAATTGTGAATGTTGTGTAGATCCATCAGCCAAAAAATTGTGAAGAAATGATGACTGTATAAAATCAAATGATTTTATACTAATCGAGATGCACTCAAAATGGGGTCAAAGTCAAATTTCTCTACAGAGTACAAAGAATACAAATGGAATTCCTTATAAGATACTCGTACATGGCAGGTAAGTTCAAACAAATCAAACATTTAGTCTTGTTCAACAACAACAATTATAACAATAATAATAAATACTATGAACTGTGGGTATGCATTTAGTTTAATTTGATTAACTTACACGACACCATTGCATATTTAGTTTTTTCTCACTCAGTGATCTCGTGGTTCCTTTATTGAAAAATTTGACACCGCCGGAATTTAGCAATATGAACTGTGATTCGCATACGGGTTCAAGAACGTGCTCCGGATTGATTCCACTTATCATCTGCATGCATCAAATATCTAAAAGATTTAATACCATGATAGAAAGTTCCATAAATTAAATATGATTAAAAGATAGCGAGATTTCTCAAATAAGAGTAAATTTGTTGGGAAATTAACTTGGATGATCACTTTACTTTCAACTAAGTTTCAATTTGATCACATTAATTTAATTTGTATCATTTTGATCACTTAATTATAACTTTAGTTGTAAATTAATATATCAGGCCTATTAAGTTGCCGGAACAATGACGTGTTTATAAATGTATGTTTTCTCTTTGATAGTAAGAATTAATAGCTTCCGCATCGTTAGTTTAGCCATCTCACTCAGTTATACTTAAAGTATCTGACCTCAAGTAAAAAGTCAAAATTCAAGGATGGCCTGTAATCAGCCGGATCAATGAAAATAGCCTCCACGGATGATGAGACCGCAGCCCTTGCGATCGATGAGGTCCAATGATGAAGGTTCTGGTAAAGTTCCATTGCTTACTAGTTGAGATTTTGGTAAGGGTGATTGACTGAAGATGAGAATGACAGAAGATAGTACACAGAGGGAGGAAATAAGATTACAGGTGATGTTCTTCAAGGATGGCCTGTAATCAATCGCTAGCGGGCTGGATTTGTTTAAACAGGGGAGTGTAAGGAGGCTTATCAGTGGAACTATCATTATCATTTGCAATTTGATGGTTGAATTACAGTTATTCAGTTATTGAAGGAACAAAGTGAATGATCTCTTTTTATTTGGACTATAATTAACAACAGTTATTGAAGAGGATTGAGAGTCAACTCTAAGGACTTCTTCCTCTGTATCCAATTAAAATTATTTGGACTATTTAACAACAGTTATCCACTTTTCCGGCAACTAAATAGGCCGGAAATAATTGGTTTGTAACTGAAAATAAAATTAGATGATTGAAATGAATCAAATTAAATTAAAATTAAGTGACCAAATTGAAACTCACTAAAAGTTAAGTGATCTTCCAAATAAATATCCCGGGAAGAAAACATATTTACTCCTATTTTTAGAAAAATCTTAAACTTTTCTTCTGTTTTGAACAATTTGTATTGAATAATTGATCGAATAAATGCATACAATAAAAATAAGAGATTTCTTAAACTTTGGAAAGTGACAACTTTTACAGAAAAAAATCAAATTAATAAAGTAATGTAAAAAAACACCGACAAGTTTTCTTGCCGATTTTTTATAAATACAAAAAAAAAATACAGAAAACCTTTTCGGCGGTCCTTGCGACAGTTTTCCGAGGATAGTATTTATGTCACATTCCCGAAAAATATGAGTAAAGTATGTTTGGAAATACTTTTAAAGTCACTTTAATGCACCTATATATGAACATAATTATAGTGAATAGAATTGAAGTGGGAATTATTGATTGTGTCAAGTAGGGTCCTTAAGAGCATCTCCAGCGATTAGCTAATTTCCCCCGTAGCTTGACTAACCACATAAGCATTTCTAGCGAAATTGAAATGTACTCCAATAGTTAGCTATAACATTTTCCTCTTCATTTATTATTAGTAATGTTTTATTTAATAAGTTTACATCCTCAATTAAGCTAGTAGCTCATTTAAGCTAATTAGCTATCTCAAGCAAAAGGAAAAGGAATGCTCCAATAGCAAGCTATTAGCTTGAAAATTGCAAGCAAGTCCTCAAACCAATCCATTGGAGATGCTCTAATATCCACGTTTTATTCATTATGGAAAGAATGATCGTTAAGACATGTTGTTTCATCTTAAAATGTCAACCTAATAGGAAAAGTAGTCCTAAATCTTATATAATATAATACGTATTATTTTTATAGCTTCTCGGTGTGGAACAAATACTTTTAACACTCCCTTAGCCCGAACCGGGCTAGACAATATTGAGGGGTGTATAAATTGGTCAAACATACCCTTAACAAGGTACCCACAATGAGTGCTAAACAAACGATCAAATGACAACCGGACTTGGCTATGATCCCATGTTAAAACATAAGATTTCATTTTAAAAGATCAACCTGATATGAGATGTCGTCCAAAATTTTACATAGTACTTTATTATTTTATAACTTTCCAGTGTGAGACAAATAATATAAGGTACAAAATCCAACCAACCTGCTTGAACACCTTGAGTTCTTGAGAACACAAATCATTTTTCACGCCATCCATCTCTTCAAATTCAAATTCTTCTTTACAGTTCTCTGCAATCGACTATTCCCCAACAAAGCAATTTTGCTCATCAATTGAATTTGAACAGTGAGTAAAGTTACAAAATTAATAAATAATGGGCACAATTGAAATTTACGAGACTGAAATTACAAATATCTCTATTAATACTTACTACGAAGTATAGTATTACTGAAATTTCTTTGAAATGTCTAATATAATAAAAGCTAAATTGAAAGTAAATACAATATTGATAAGAAATAAAAGATAAATAAGAATTTGATGAGTACGCTTTCAAATATTCATACTATATTTTATGAAAAATATTGAATATTAAATTAGATGGTGGGAATAAATTTAAGGTCAAATATAATATAATAATATTGTCAAAGATTATATATATTTTTGCTTCATTATATTTAAAATGTAAAAAAGGAATTAATGGAAAAGTTAGCATAACTACTCTCGGTTTACTTCTATGTTGTAAAAACCGGACCGGAGAGTGACCCGGCCACATGACTGGGTCACGGGTCAACCCGGAACCGGTGGGTCAACCCGGTCAACGTCGGAAAACCGGTCAATGATTATACGTCGATATAATAATAGTAAACATATAAGTATATATAAAATTATAATAAAAATTAGTTATTATTGATAATAATCAACTAACAATACTACTTATTAAGCATTTAATACACTCTTATAATATTTCAATGTATATTTTGATCTTATAAAAATATACTCGTATAATGATATTTTTATTTTTATTGTACATCTATATTATAATTTGGCATGATGTTCATTCTTAAATAAATATATAAATATATTACGTAGTTTTTCTTTTTAAGGTATTGAAATTGCAATTTTATTGGTATAAAAAATAAAAAAGAAATTACTTTTTTTGGTAAAAAACACCCAAAAACCGGGTTTTACTGGGTTTTTCGGGTTTCTTGGGTCCGGGTCTTGTCCGGGTTTTCCCGGGTCAGTCGAGTTTTTCCGGTTTTTGGCCATTTCCGGGTTTTGAAAAAACCGAACCGTTTTTTTGTCCGGGTCACCGGGTTCCGGGTCAACCCGGCCGGGTCGGGTCGGGTTTTTAAACATAGGTTTACTTTTGTGAAGCAGCTAACCATTTAAGATTATTGTTGTGAAGTTTTCCATTATTTTTGTTAAATATGTAAAAGTAGATTTGTGTCGATTTTACCTTTTACTTCGTATATACTTAGGATATGTTTGGCACGCCACTTAAGCTCAAAAAGAGCTGAAATTCTTTAAATCCAACCAATTAATTTAAAAGTAGCTCTGTTTGGGGGAATGACTTATATGAGCTTAAACTGAAAATAACTAACTGAACTAAAACGTTGGTATATCAAACGTTTAGGTTCAGCCCTTGTGCAATAGACCTCCATGCCCATTACCTTGTTGCCGCTTCCCTATTTATAGCCTCCACCTACTATGTATAAATAGTCTCATCCCTCATATGTATATAAAACTATATAAAGGAATATACAGTATTTGTTTGTTCACGTTGACCATAATTTGTGCAGCTGATTTTTAAGATTTTATAAATTTAATTTAAATAAATAAATAAGTTGAACAAATAAGACATAAAAATAATACGGAGTGAAAAATGGTCATGAGCTAGGATGAAATAGGTTGAATTACTTAATCATAAACATGATTCATAATGATACTACGTAATTAGTTGGGATGAAATAAGCTAAACAAATAAAATATATGTTTACGTGAAAAACTAGTAATTTAATCATGGTTATAAATATTTTGAATAATACATAGTATATTTTATGGCCTTCAACGTAATTTTAAATTTTTCAATCACTCTTTCAGCTTTTTTTGCCAAACGAGCAACTTGATTCAGCTAGCAGTTCAGATTCAGTACTTTGTAATTCAGTTCCAGACAATAGTATCTAATTCAGACGATAGCTCTCAATTCAGACATTAGTCTTCAGTTCCAACTCGTTGTGCCAAACATGGACTTAAGGTACTACTCTGATCCCTATAGGTCCCACCAACCTTTGTCTGGTTTTACTTTTTTCGTCTGTCTCACAACATTTATCTCATACTATATTTAGTACTGCTAGTCTGCAATATGTAATAATTGAGTGATAATTTCATTTGTTTGAAATAATCACACTTTTATTTAATTTTTTATCCGATCCCAATTTCGGAGGATGAAGATATATAGTATATTTTTATTTTAGTGGAGTACTGAAGTATAGTGTGAGAAAAGTTTGGTTGTACAAAAAAATTCTTCAATGATAAGCCCAATCGCAATTGAACTGGAACTTGGAGTCGATGATTGGTTTTGCAGCAGTAAGATTTGATGATTTTATTGTAAAGTACTACTGGTATTTCTTTAGTGGATTGAAGTAATAAGATTTCATGTTTACAATTTTACATTGTTATTACTTGGAGCATTGAAAAATTAAAGAGTGCTAAAATTAGTGTTGGTTAAGAAAATGGGCTTATTCTACACAACTTTCCAATGAGATAAAAACACATTCAAACAAAATAGAATACAAGCTACAATTATTTGGAGTCTTGGGTTTTAATTTCGATGAAAATTTAATCCCAATTGTATTACATAAAACAAAGCATCAATTCCATCAAATATCACATCTTATTTAAAGATGTTTTTTTTAGAACGGACTAGTAAAATTTGGTGTTTTTATTTTATTTATTATATTGGTCTTATTGCATTAAACCCATAAGATTTGATATTTTTCTTTCATATATTTTTATTATAACTTGGAGCCTGTGTAGTTAAACACTTAAACAGCATAGAAGTATTAGTTTAGAATATTTAATTGTCCAATAAAAATAAGACACATTAATATATAAAACACGACTTTACTATAAAAATATTACGGAATTGATATGAAAATAATAAATTACAAACACTAACCTTGTAAAGTTCACTGGAGACGAGACCCATTCCATGAGCAAATGGAATTGAATAATTTTTCTGGGCAGGAAATGTTACGGGGTTTCCTAGTATGTACCCCTAAAACAATATTAACAATGGCATTGTTATTATATATGCTAATATACATTATTATTTAACTACTTTGGTACAATAACAATTGGAACTGAATGCTACACACACAAACCTTAAGATTGATCACCACCGACTTGGTGGCAACTTCATTTCCTACGTACATGGTTATAAATGGAAACATGTCATTTCATTACAAAAAAGCCATTCATTGCTCAAGTACGGAGTATGTAGTAATAATCATAGTGATCCAATGACATCATTAGATTCCTTAAGTATGTTAATTTGATATTTCTATTCTTTCCAAATTTTGTACATTAATGTTAGCTTAGTTACATTTACATACTAATTTTATTCTTTGTGAAGTACTCTTATCTACATAAATAATACGGAGTACATTGTACATAGTATTGATGTATGACCAAATATATAAGAGAGTGAACAAAATGTGATTTAATAACTTTTAGTGACAATAATTGTATTTTAAAACAAAAACTAATGCTTCCTCCGTCCCAATATAAAAGGCACATTTTCCTTTTCGGGCCGTTCCAATATAAAAGGCACATTTCCATTTTTGGCAAAGAAAACAGTACAAAACAGTGTCAAACAGTGTCGAAACAGTGCCAAACAGTGTCAAAAAGTATTCCTCCTAAAATGTTTGAAAACACAAATGTGCTATTTATATTGGGACGGAGGGAGTATATGCTTAAAAATTCGGTGACATAACAAGGTCATTGCAATCCATACTCACTACTACACATTAAAGATGTAACATACCTACAAAAGTGTTACATATATCTCTAATGTAACACTTTTTAGATCTAGTGTAACACTTTTTACATGTATAAATGTTACATTAGGGACTAAGAGTGTTACAATAGGGCAAATGCAACATGAGCAAAAGTAATGATAAAAAAGTGTTACATTGTCTCTAATGTAACACTTTTCACTGATATTGTAACACTTTTGATGATAGTGTTGAAATGTTGTAGTGACTGTTTTTTATTTTTCAGGTATGCTTGTACTAAAGCTATAAAGATATTCAAATTCATTTTACATCCAAATGTGGCGGTATAAAATACTCCGTATGTATATTCGTAGGAGAAATTGCATTCTCAACCAAATAACTAAAACATTATGACATTGTAGCAAACAGAATGATTATGTTATTACCGTTGGATGTACCAAAAAATTTAGAAAAACGAATTAATGGGACATTTTATTTAGCAATGACAAGGTCACAAGGACAATATTTGAGTTTATATATAAAGTAATTGCCCTTAATATATACTCCAAATGCAAATACTTGTGAAAACCTAGATTCCTAGCTCGAGCTCCTTTCAAATTGGTTCCGTGAAATCAATTCGAACCAAATTACGATAGTGTGTCAAGTGGATCTCAAGGGTTACTTCATGTTTCATGTGTTTTAGGATGTTTACTTTTGGACTGAAATTTGTTGGTCTGGTCTGGTCTGTTTAAGTCTGGTCTGGTCTGGTCTGGTAAACGTCTGGTCTTTGTGTATTTTATAACTAAGAAATTCAGGTCTGGTCTGGTCTGGTCTGTTTAAGTCTGGTCTGGTCTGGTCTGGTCTGGTCTGGTCTGGTCTGGTCTGGGACTGAAAACAGTCCAAAAGAAAACATTCTTAGTAAGCGATCAAGTGAGACCAACATTATATTATACCTAGTACTATTATTGTTATAGAAATTGTCCATCCTAAATAAGAGTAACAACGTTTTCATAATCTAAATTAGGACATTCATGTTTTTATTCCCTAAATAGGAATACTTTCTGTCAATGTTTGGAAAAAAATAAACTTGGCAGAAACTGTCATGTTTAAAGTATGTTATTGCAAAACTTGACAAAAATTACTTGTGTTTAGGGAATAAAAACATGACAGACATATTTTGGAATTTCAAAACTTTATTACTCCTCTTTAGGGAATGTTCCCTTATTGTTATTAATTGCTATTGTATCATATATAATTTGGCGCGTTAGCTGCATGTGATTTAAAAAATGGGTCACGGCTCCCTATGTTATAATTATTCATGTGTAATTTTTTTTCCAAGAACAAATTTAACAATTTTGAAATCATGTATCTTAATGTTATAGATCATCAAATATACAATAAGTAGAATTGTCAATATCACTGCATTTGTTCTTAGTGTTTTTTGCAAATGAATAATTATAACACATGAGGAATTTGACACATTTTTAAATCACAGGGGCTAATATGCCAAATGCCCAAATTTATACTATCATATCACAAGAGTGTTTAGTGCATCAAACTCCATATATGTAGTACTTCATATGTTGCTTTTAGAAATTAATAAGATCAAAAGAAGGCAATACAATGAATTTGTATTAAATGAATTCCACATAATAATATTAATGAAAACTATACTATAGTTGACCCAAAGAATAGGATTCTTACATTGGGAGATAGGCTTCAAAGTTAAATATGCTTAGACGCGTATATATGGTAAATACGTACCATCAGATATAAGCACACTTAGAGCATCTTCAATGGTACAATGTGCACGGTGCACACGTGGCATGAGAGATGACCACATAAATATTAGTAAATAAATTATTTCTCTCCTTATTTGAATGATTTTATACAGTTTTGGTAAGTTATTCTCCACAATGTCAAAAAGACCGTCTAATGTTGACATTGTTGTTGACATTGCAGGGAAAAACTTACTAAAATTATATAAAATCATTCAAATAAGGAGAGAAATAATTTATTTGCTAATAATTATGTGGCTATCACTCATGACACATGTGCGCTGTGGACATTATAGCATTGAAGATGCTCTTATAATTGGAACAACGATCCCCGCATAAGAATCCCCGGCAACATAAAATGGATTTGATTTGAAATCTGGATGTTTCGTAAACCACTACAGAGAACAATAAATATATTCCAGAACTTAGAATGTTATCTCGTGATTGCATAATATGATGATGAATTTGATGATGATAATGATGATGACAATGATGGAAAACTATCAAATAGACCCTCGAAAAAGTGAATTAAGTCCTCCAACTAAAAATCACTCAATTAAGTCCATGAAGTATATAAATACAGGCAAATTTGTATTCTAGCCAGTTGATTCCCCGTTAACTAGTCACTTTGCTGACATGGTAGTCCACTCAAATCCCCCCTCTTCCCCTTTTTCTCCTCTTTTTTCAGGCTTCTTTCTTCTTCTGTACAAGCAAAACGCCACTCCCCTGCTTTCTTTACTTGGGAGAATTACCACCAATAATACTAAAACTAATGAGTTTTCCTAAAATATGACTGCTTATGTTATTTTACCAGAATGCTATTATCCATCTGTGCATGTGTTAGTCTATCCGTATTTTTCAGTCATAACCGTATAGCCTTTCGCATCATTCTTCTTATTTTTATGCAACTTGAAGTATTCCATTCATTTTAATCCCTAATAAGTAGGAAATGAAATACTTAACGTGGCTAATAATTGGAATGTCCATGTATTTAGTAATGATTTAAGTCATACGAGACATAAAAAACATGAATGGTCATTTTCTAGGAAAACTAATGCGTAGTAAATTTTAGTACTGTAATATTGGGTATTTTCCCCTTCTTTTCTTTATCCCTATGTTGCACGGAAACGCGAAAATCATGACGAAACAGGAAACGAGAAATGTCAACTTCTGCTCAAAAAGGGCTTATTGGAGAGTTTCCAAAGAGTTTCCGAGAGTTTTCGAAACGGGAAACGTACTCTTTCCCGAGAGTTTCTGTGCTACATATATAGCTTTATCCCACTCCCCCTTCTTTGTTCTTCTACTCAAGCCCAGCCCTCCCCTTCTTCTCATTTATAATTACTCTTCCAGTTCTCTATAATTCACTCTTAAGATTCGGACAAATGGCCGTCACCTCTGCCTTCCCTTTAATATCAAACATATACTACGTAGTATACTCCGTATTAGACTAGAAAGTCTAGAAAACAATAATTTAGGTGACATGTAAAAATGAACCGAGATAGTACCTTTTGCAAAAAGTCATAGACATGGTTGCACGCTTCCAAATCGGTAAAACGGGCGGCATTTGGAGTTGTGGCATATGAAAATCCTGTATTCGCTGGTTGATCCAAAAATAGAACGTTTGCCACCTAAAATAAAAAAAATTTAAAAAAAAAAACAATGTCTCAAATTTAACAATGTAAATTTAATTCTGTCCAGTAATTGAAATGGTTGCTTTCAATAGTGTTTTGACTTTTTCCAGATTCCGGCTTTCAAAGTACATGGTGGTCTATTCAAGGGCAACGGTCACGCCCAAAATCCACAGTTAAGTCAATTCTAGCTAGAACCGTTTTAATTAACTCATCAATCTCTTATCCATGCATAAAGCCCTGGTAAAAAACCATGCATAAAGTTAATACTCCGTTTGTGACAGTTTCTGTTACTTTCGTGTTGGTGAAATTAAACTTTTGTGACTCAATTTTCAATTTTTCAATTTTTAGTTCTTCGACTATTGTCTACCAGTATCTCAACAAAAAGTTTAACCTTTTGCTAGTATATCCTTGTTACTCGATTACTTGTTTTCAACTACTCTCCATGACTCCATCTAACCTTCTCCTCATTTCATTCTCTATCTCTCTTTAAATAAGGGCATCTCCATCTCACCAAATGCACTCCCATTTAGTAAATGTGTTATTCAATGCAACAGAAAAATGGAGAGGGTCAATTAAGTTGAGTTTGGCAAAAGAGAGAAAAAACCAAAGTCTTGCACAAAGTCCACTGATAGACCTTGGATGACAAATCATCCAAGAAGAAAGTAGACTTTCCATTTGGATGACAAATCATCTCCAACCAGTGGCGGACCTAGTATTTACATTTTGAGTGTTCAAAAATACACATTTTCTCTTTAAAATACCATTAAACAAATTACTGCACTAATTTAGATATACATATTACTGCATAAAGCACATCCGCCACTGTCTCCAACACACCGAAAGCATTGGAGATGCTCTAACTATCCACACGCACCACCCTTCTTTTACCCAATCTCATTTTTTGTTCCACTTTCTCCAGTACTTGAGAGGATTTCAGAATAATCCAGCATGGTGTGGAATTGTGGACAAAATGTCATAATTTGTGGGCTAATTAATTACAATTGTGTATATATCAAGTACGGTCATGTAGTGATGTACTCGTAGTAAGAATAATTAAGAATACTTCATTCATTCATTCATGTCCAGTCATGTACCTTCATCACGGTGGAAACTACTACGAGTAAAGTCAAATTGGTACTATACTTTCATTTCAAAATATAAGTTTTATTCTCTTAAGTAATGTATGGATATTGGATAATATAACACACTAAAGTCTGGTAATATCAAATGTAAGATGTCAATATGCTACTTCTAATATCTGTATTTTGAAATTCTACAATTTTACTACTATTCCAGGAATACTTCGTTTTCAATAATTTTTCAAAATTATATGGAGTATACCTATCTTAGAATGTGTATGTTGAGATTGATGGATGGTGTTGTACCTTGGACATGGAATGTGGAGCAAGAAGCAACGTGGGTAGACTTCCGTTGTACTCTTCCACCTTGAACTCCAACGGTCCTAAAATTTGGAGGCATATTCCAAATTAAGGTCTATGCGAGACGTCTAGAGTCTAGACTCTCACAAATAAGAGTCATTCTTGTTGTACCATTGTACCCCATTTGTAGCTCACTATTTGTGTGGTTCACAAAAGAGCATCTATAAATTAATTGTCTCACTATATTATGAATTGCCTTTTATGAACCACACACGTACAAATGAGGTACCAAAATGAGGTATCTCTAAGAGGGTAAGCATTTACATTTTACTCCCTCCGTCCCCTTTTAAATGTTCTGTTTTACCATATTGGGATGTCCCTATTTAATTGTATCATACCTTATTTGGTAAACTTTGTGTGGCTCAAAAATCATTCTTACTTTATTCTTACTTTATCAATTAATATCAACCACACAAACACACTTTTCTTAAAACCCGTGCCACCATCTCCTGTCTCATTTAAAAGGGGACGGAGGGAGTACTATTTAGATACTCCCTCCGTCCCAAATTGTTTTGCAAAGTCAACATTTTTTGGTCAACCAATAATAAAAGTCAATGCTCCGTATTGATAATTAGTTCAATTTTTAATAATTAAAATTTACATATTCAGAAACTACATTAAAATCTCTTCAAAGTTGCAAACTCCAAATTAGAATATAATTAAAAATTGACATCCTAATTAAGCGAATAAAATAAAACTGTTTGACCAAGAAAAGTCAAATTTGCAAATCAATTTGGAACGGAGGTAGTAAGTCCTTTTCTAGCTTGGAAAAGTAAGTGTAATGAATACTCAATATACAATTTTGAAACGGGTCGAAAATGAAAGTAGGACAAATATTTTGAAACGGAATATAAAAGCGTGTCTATGTTACCGGTTGCACCTTTTTACACAATATTGTACATTTGTACAATTGTACGTGTATAGTTTCCAAAACTGTATAGGGAGCATACAACAAATTTCACTTAAATGCACATTACAAGGTCGTTTGGCAACACCGTTTGTCGGCTTATCAGACTTATCGATCAGCCAACTTCTTAACCAAACACGTAATTTTTTCTTTCGCGCGCTGAATTGTGTAATAAGCAGAAAAGGTAAGGTTGAAGTTGCTTTTCTGGCTATATTGGCTGAAGTTACTGCAAATGACCATTTTAGCTATTTTTACATATACGTAGTACTTTTTTCTTTATTTTATTAATAAAATATATTTTAAAAATAATTTTTTCTTAAATCAGCAGAATCAACCAATGCAACCACTTCAGCCAGAACTTCAAAAATTTCAGCAGAAAAAGCCAAAACAACAGCCGATTTTCGTGCTACGTGTTTTTAATTGTTTTGTAAGTATTACTGAACTAAATAAAAATTGCTAGTATATACTCCCTCCGTCCCAGAATTAACTTCGGTTTTGACTGGGCACAAGGATTAAGATAGTGGGAAATGTGTGGTGGAGATTTGTGCAGAGGAGAGAGAAATGTGTAAGAATGATTGTGAACCACAAATCCTTTGCCAAAAAGGGAAAGAGGAGATAAATTCGGGACGGACCGAAAAGGAAAGAATGAAGATAATTTCGGGACGGAGGGAGTAACTTTATGATCATTGCACTGTCAAATTGAAAATAATTACCATCAATAAAAATTACTACGCCCATTTATATTGGGACAGAAGATGGTGACACGGTTATTAAGAAAAGTGAGTTTGTGTGGTTGATATTAATTGATAAAGTAAAAATAAAGTAAAAATGATTTAGAACCACATAAACTTTGCCAAATATGGTATGGGACAATTTAAGTGGGACTTCCCAAAAAGGTAAAACGGGACAATATAAATGGGACGGAGGGAGTACTAAATAATCATTTGGCATAAAAAGTGATATTCTTGTCTATCATCTTTATATTAGTCATATATATGGTCACTATTTTATTTTATATCAACCATTTTGTCCACCATTCTCAAGGCACTACAATTTTTATAGGCAAACTTCATGATTCCCTTATGGTTTACCACATACTCCGTATATGAGAACTAATTAAACATTGCAATTGAATGATTTAAACCACATAAATAGACAATGAATAACGACTCGAACCAATCAAATAGAATACAGTTACGATTCACATATGTAGTACTCCGTATATTCTTTTCAAATCATCAATACTTGAAATTCTACTTTGACGAGATCCTAGAATATTAGAAAATACCCATTATACAATGTAAAATATTGTTCCTTAGAAATTGCTCACAGTTTGACTTGATTCTAAATTTTTGGATTTGGATACATGCAATTAGCGTAAGATATATGCACACATACCAAGTTCATACATGAATGCAGTGAGAGAGGAACAGCCAGGACCTCCACTGAGCCAGAGAATCAGAGGATCTTCCTTTGGGTTTGATTCTGATTTAATGAAGTAGTAAAACAGCTGCACTTCCTCATTTTCAGACACCCCGATATACCTACATTCACCATAGTTTAAGACTTTAAGTTTAATAGACTGATGAGAATCTTCTGCAGATAACACTTGTTTTGTATATTTTGGTAAAAGAAGCATACCCATATTTTACTCTGCTCTATTTCGGAAAATTTCCAAACTTTTCCTTACTATAATAAACTCTCACCGTCACATAAAAATTGGTGAAATTTTAGTTATAATATTTTTGAAAAAGACATAATTTTTAGTATTTTTAAAAAGATCATTTCTATGGATCATCCAGAACCGTCTCTCTGTGTTTTTTATTAGTACAGAGGTAAGGCTGCGTAAATCTGACTCCCCTTACCCCATTGTAGGTGGAAGCCTTTGCGGTACTGGGGTAATGATGATGATGGAGTATTTTACGGCATTTATAATCATTAAATACATTGATAAATAAAATATACATGTGATTAAAGTGTTGAAACGATTAAAACCCACCAAATTTAACTTTATGGCTCGTTTGGTAGTTTACATGTTAAATCTTTGCATGTGAAGTGATTGCATGCAAAGTATAGGGAAACAATTACATTGTTTGACTAGATATGTAATTTATTTTTAAATTGCACGCAAAGTCGTTGCAGTGCTTCATAAAAGGCGTGCAAAGTATTTTACCACCCGCTAGACACATAAAGGTTTGAAACTCAATGGAGTGAGTTTCAGCCCTGATTACTATCCAGGCTCCCCCAAACCCCCTGGAGTAAAAAAAGTATTTTACCATTCTCTCCCCACATAAAATACTTTACATGGTACAGTGCGAAATGTTTTAAAAAAGTGCCCTACAATTTACATTAAATAATCAAACCAAACAGTGTAAACATTTTACGTCTTTATACTTCACATTCCAAGTAATTATTTTACATCATACCAAAGGCCTCCTTAGATTGATTTGTTTAGCTTTGCACCGGGTGATGTACAAAGTTGATTCAATTATTTTGCAGGGTAAAAAGTAAAAACGAAGCATCAATTCTATCACAATTTGCCCTTCATAGACATTTGAAAATTAAATTTGTATGTCATTGGAATTGCAAAATAAGGGAAAGAAAACAAATTATATATTGCAAAATTATAATCTGGAGATAAGCATGGGTGTAACAGCTAGTAAGTTAAAGAAACGGTTATGGGAGAAATATGAATCACCCGGTGAAGAGTTCAAAAGGAAGGCGGCCATTAAAGCCGGGAAGGAACTCGACTCTTGAGAGATCATCTTCATCCTTATCGTTGCCAGCAGCTGAAACAACATTTATATGATGACATAAAACAACACCCACCACAACAAGGAGCAGTCGCAGAGTGCAAGAATATTTCTTCATTGCCTTCCCAACTACAAATTAACAACCTGTAATTATATTATATTGTATTGTAGAATCTATATATATCATATATCCCCAATGTCCTTTAGTTAATTCTGCAATAAATTTTCTGCAGTGTGAGTCTTTTAATTATTTAAAGGCTATGCATGTTACAGGATAAGGTATGGTTTACTTGCGATGACTTAAATCTGTCCGCTTGCCGCTTGCCTCGGCTCGTTCCACGATGTATTTTGAACTTTTAATTAATATCCAATTATTAAATTAGTATTCACTTGAAATTTGACTTGAATTTTTTGGAATGTTAATTTGAGCTTTATTTACTCTTTCATGAGAGATACGTACGGATGTTACCGGACAAGGTATGATGTACTAAATGTCCGGTCTGGTTACTCTTATGTATACGCAGTATTATGCTATTGTCTAAATTTGATTTGCTCTGGTTTATTTGTCTATTTGAGTTTAATCTAATGACATATTAAAAACACTCTTATTGATCTTCCCGATGACTATTAAAAAGATCACGGATCTCTAATAGATAGTGGCGGAACTAGAGGGGCGAGCCGGTGCCGGCACTCCCCAGGGGCGGAGCTAGAGGGGTGGCCAACCGGGCCATGGCCCGCCCCAAATTTGAAAATTCTTTGTATTTTTAGTGTAAAAATTTATTTGAAAAAAAATTATCAGAAAAATTCTTTGTACCGGCCCAGCCCGACCTTCAATCCTAGCTACGTCCCTGGCGCTCCCCCCTTCGCCGGAATAGTTAAGGTATATATATGTGTGTTATTTGCAATCTGTGTGTTTTTTCATTTAGCAAAACGACCCCGCTTTGATAAGTAATAAAAATAACTTAAACGACAACAATGTATATTGTCCAGTCTGACAATATGCGCTATGCCAGTCTGACTTTTGAATATTGACCAACTCCGTATCCGTACTAATAGAGATACATTTTGGCCGGCCCAGTTGCCAAATTGTGCATATCCATAACCCTGATTATGCCTGAGTGGCTTGAACCTTAAACTTAGGCATGGACCCGGGCCGGGCCGGTTCCGGTTCCGGGCCGGGCCCGGGCGGGCTTTTTTTTTGGGAAGGAAGGCCCGGGACCGGCCCGGGTAGCCACCGGGTCCGGTCCGGGTCCGGGCCGGGCCGGGCCGGGCCTCCGGTTCGGTTATAATTTTTTTTTTTTTTTTTTGCTTTCCTAACCCCCCCCCCACTCACCCCCACACCCCCCAAACCCCCAAACCCCTCCTAACCATCAAGCCCAACTTGGCTAACCCCAAAAAAAGAAAAAAAAATTAAAAAAAAAAATCAATTCGGCCCGGGCCCGGGCCCGACCCGGCCGGGCCAGTTCGCCAAATTCAAGGCCCGAGCCCGGACCCGGCCACCCCACCGGGCCTAGGCCCGACCCGGACCCGGACCCGAGAACCGGGCCGGTTCCGGGCTCGCACAGTGACGGGCCGGGCGGCCCGAACCGGGTCCATGCCTACTTAAACTTTAACGGAGTACTTTATACGGAGTATATAACTTACGTAATAATTGCTTATGTTTATTATTAGAAATTAGGATGGTTAATGTGATATGGTCATCTAATGCATGTGTCAATGTACTGCCTTTTTTTATGGACTGCCATAAAAATTATGCTACAGAGTGTAAATTTTATTTTAATATTAATAATATATATCATTGTTCTAAAACTCGCTAGGCGTTAGTCGGGCGGTTGAGATGCGTCTAGCGCCTAGACGGCCGACTAGGCCAATTTTTTTGGCCGACTAGGCCGATTAGGCCGGCCTCTACGGTTAGGGCCGACTAGGCCGCTTAGGCCGATTAATCGGTCTGACTAGGCCGATTTTTAGAAGAATGATATATATACTATATACGGAGTAGTAAATAAAAAATAAAAAAATAAAGGGTTACGTTGTAACCTATAAGGCAGCCTTTTAAAAAAACCTGTAAGGCCATTCATATCACAAGCTAGGGCTACTTGACTATCTGTTACGTTATTTGATTGGAAATTAGTGAATTTATGTATATTGATAGGACAAAATATTCTCATGTGTAATTCGATTCCAATGATATGGCTAATTTAAGGTATGTAAATATAATATGTTTTGGTTTTGATTCTTTTTTAAAGACGTGTACAAAGAATGCATTTAATTTTGGTAGTAGTTAATTTACTTTGTTTGAGACTTCATATATTTTTTAGAGAAATTTCAAATAAACTCTTGAACTCTATGTATTTAGAGAACAATTAACTTATTTGTACAAATTTTCCAAAAAAAAAAATCATTTGGACAAGCTGTGTAAGAACATATATAACATTTTGAACAAATAGTATATGATGCACAATAATTTTATCTGATGCACTTTTTAAATAAATCTTATTTGACTCAATTTTTGAAAAGTGCATCAAATGATTTAAGGTTTCTTTGAAAATGCATTAAATTGAGTTATTATGCATCAAATTAACCATTTGGATGTTAAGACTTTTTATTTGAACTCTCACCGCATATATTATTATATATATAGTCAAGTGGTATAGAGATATGCTTTTATTTGCGTCAAACTGAAATTGGAGAGTATATTTGCTCTCATACGCAAAATCCAAGGTAAATTTATTTCTTTTCTCTTTATTTTTCAGCACCTCCTTCGAAATAGTTCTGGTTCCGCCACTGCTAATAGATGCATGTTAAGTTTGGTTTCAATTGTCTTTGCACTATATTTGTGCTCTCCATTACCCCACCACATGAATACATACTTTATTTTATACTCGTATTTCATTAGGAGGGCTTGAGTTTTGACAGATGGAGTTAGGACTTTCCGGATTATTGTTCATCGTCTTTCATGTGCTTCTCTCAGTTCTTAGTATAAAACTATAAATGATAAAAATTTCAAGGAGACTTATATGACTCCGTTATGGTGTCATAATGTCATATGAGGTGTTCTGAGCTTGTGGCATAACAATAATCACTCGTTTTTTAGTGGGACTCCCCCACTAAAATATTAAGTCGTTATTTTTATGTCATAATACCGCATATGACCTCATAAGGGAGTCACATGAGTCCACATAACTACTCGCATCAGAGAAAGCTTAAATTGGCAAGTCAAATGAATATGTTTTAGAAATAATAGCATATATAATACTTTTAAGTTTTAACTTATTATGGACCAAAATATTTATGACAAAGTCTTAATAAGGACAAAAAGTATAACTAAAACTAAAATAAGAATGAATATAGACTACAATACTCTAGTATGAATTCCCTAAATTTTATTTTTTACCTCCAACGGTCATCATCTCCAGTTTGAGCCTCGCTATCCTAAGCTACTGCTTTACCTCACCGTCCTAGGCCGCTGTTCCGTTGTCACACACCATTTATGTTGTAGTCAACTTCGGGTTCAACCTTCAGCAAATCGACCTCTCCAATGTAGCAATGAGCCTTTTATAGTCATCTTATTCTTTACTTCTCATCCTCTAATTCATAGCCGTCTCATTCTTCGTCATTGTCCCTCTTAGTCATCGTCTTCTTTGTTGTTGGTGCACGGGATCTATCCGTCAAAGTGGTTGATTAGCAGTGGTGAGTGGCTTAGCTTGGAGCGACCACATATATGACAGGATGGCCAGCAAATGACGTTGTCTGAGTTAATCTTACGGCGAGCAAGCGATAGACTCTCTTGAATGGGCAATGGCTACGGTTACAAGTTGGGTAGATGTAGTGGTGGACCGGTTCCGGGCGGGCCCGGTTCAAGGTAGGGGAGGCCCGGAACCGGCCCGGGTAACCCCGGGTTCGGTTCGGGCCGGGCCGGTCCGGGCCCGGTTCCGGTTCTATATAATTTTTTTTTTGGGTTTTCCTAATCAACCCCCTACCCTCCCCCTCAACCCCAAACCACCTCAAATGGCCCAAAATAACCAATCCAACCCAAAAACTTAAAAAAAAATTCAAAAAAAAAAAATTAATCCGGCCAGGACCGGGCCCGAACCGGCCGGGCCGGTTTACCAAAATGAAGGCCCGGGCCCGGAACCGGTAGCCACCGGGCCGGGTCGACCCGAACCGCCCATGGGCCGGGCCGCCGGGCCGGTTCAAACAGTGACCAGACTGGGCGAGTTCCGGGTCGGGCCGCCCAGCCCGAGTCCATCCCTAGGTAGATGACGTCGAGAGTTTCATCTCCTTGACAGCAATCATTGTGACCAAGTAAGCAGTATCACTAGCCACGGGCGTGCCAGTGTCACTTGATGGAGGCTCTGATGTCACTAACCAAGAGTTGTTTGCAATTGAAAAATAGATTACTACTGGTGGGAGTAGGGATGGGCCCGGTTCGGGCCGGGCCCGGTTCGGGCCTTGAACCGGCCGGGCCTCGGTTCACGGTTTGGGAGGCCCAGAACCGGCCCGGGTAAACCTGGGTCCGGTTCGGGCCGGGCCACCCGCCCGGTTCACGGGCCGGGCCCGTTTCGTGCCGGTCCTTTTAATTTTTTTTTAAATTATATATTATATTATTATAATAATTGTTATTAAAAACAAAATTCAAGTGCATTTATTTGAAATAGGAAGTACATTTGAGAATTGAGGAAAAAATAACAATATGAAATACATTTTCGAATAAATATCAATTGGGATTTCCGCCATCGTTGGTTGTTGTTTTACCTTTGTCACATGACTTCATATGTTTTATTGGCATCCCGACTCCGTGTGAACGCCCCAAGCAACACTCTTTCTTGCACCACTTGCAAGTTGCCCACCACAGTCCGGTCTTCGGGTCCTTCCACTTATCAAAGTTGTTTTGCATAACAAAAGAATTACTTTCCATCTTTAAAATGGTAGATGTATAAGTAGAAATGTAGGATAATAAGAGAAGATGAAGATGGAGAAGAGTTGGAGAAGAGGTGTAGAAAATGGTAGAAAATAGATGTATTTATAGATTTTTTTAGAAAATGGTATAAATGAGAAGTCTAACAATTAAGTACTTAATAGATAAATGAGAAGTCTAACAATTAACTGCTATTATAAGTAATATATAATATAATGTTTATAGTATATAATATATAAGTATATTACTATAAGATGAGTAATACACTTATACTTAATACTTTAATATATATATATATATATATATATATATATATATATATATATATATATATATATATATATATATATATAGGGGAGGGTTCCTGTGA